ATATATATATATATATATATATATATATATATATATATATATCATTTTACTCATCTCAAGTCCAATAACTACTATAAATTGAACATGCCATTGATTATCATATATTGAGTTAATAAATATATGAAATACGCACATAAAATGCAACCAGCCACTACAACACATGAATATTATGTGATAACATTAGAACATTGTTTTATTTACAACATCATATATACATGTCCATTACTTTTCTCATGGAACGACACAAACAATATGTGTTTTAATTATATTTAATCATAAGTTGATCTTAATTACTCGGTTGCAACTAGATAGAAACCAATAGTTTTCAGCCATACATCAAAAACAAAAAATCGTAGAAATACTAGAAAAAATAAATAATTGTTTTTCAATTTTAATTAATTAAAATCTTGATATATATATATATAATATTGATTTATAAAAAAAAAACCGCACATCATAAGCAAGACAGAGAGAATAAGTTTCTGATACCAAATGTTAGAAAAATTAGATATTAACATTTCTTGAAACAAATAAAGCTCATATTAAAATCAAAAGTGAAATCAACTAAATCAATTAGCTCAAATGCATTCCATTAATTTTTTTCTTGTATTTATTTGTTAATATCAATGTTTTTAAAATTGAACTAGTCATCAAACTGATCAAGTTACTAACTCAAAATTCAATAATTTATCCATAGTTGAATCGATATTAATAAAATAATAATAATATTTAAATAATACATAATATTATGTAAACATAATATCATAAATTTATAATACTAAAATTAAGATAAAATATTATATTATATTTATATTTTTTAAAGTGCATTTAAAAGTGTAAATATGATATTTAAATTTGAGTTTTAATACAATATAACAATATATATGAACAATTTTATATTTAAAGTAGAAAAATCTCAAATTAATATAATATAAAATATAAACTATCATGATATAAAAATATAAATTAATATAAATGATTAAATTATATATTTGTAAGAAAAGTATTAAAAATTAAATAAAATAATTTATTCTAATTTATAAGTTTATTAAATTTATTTATTTATCATAAAATAATTTTAAATAATTATAGAAAATAAAAAAAATTGAAAAGGATCGGTTCAATCCGATTTTCTAGACTGATTTTTTATTGATTCTTTTACACCTTAATTTTTTGGTTCTTCTGGATCGATAAACTAACTAGATCTCAATTTTATGGATTGAATCAGTTAGTTTGGTCCAATTTTTATAACACAGATTAATAATATGAATGGACTAACACTAAAGTCTTGAGGGCTATAACGAAAAAGATAAAATTAGATAATTTTTTATATTAAAATTAAATTTTTTCTCCTTTTGTATTTCACCTTTCATTTTACCATAAATGATTAGTGATTTTAGGATCTTTCAGCATCTTGTTATAGTTTGCAACTTTTAGGTAGCTATGATTATTTGTACTTTATTTAATTATTTATTTATTTTGCTACTTTGTTTAACATGAATATTTAAGTAACTAATAGTCTTTTGTCTTGATGTTTATATAGGGTTAAAAGAGTGACCAGAATGACAGAGAGTGTGGCAAATGGGGTCCTCACTGGGGTTGTGAAGGTCTCTGGATTTTTTACTAGTTCAGTGGTAAATTCAAAAGCAGGAAAGAAATTTATCAGCATGCTACCTGGTGAAGTTGTGTTGGCATCACTGGATGGATTCTGTATGTTAATCGTATTAATCCTTGGCTTTTTGAGGTCTTATGATTTACATCCATCACTACAACATTGTTCGAATTCTAAGCATACTAGCCAAATAACCCCTAGCAAATTAAGGAAAAAATAGAAAATCATCTGTTTTTTTTTTTTACAAAGCAAAGAAAATAAGAAAAAGAAAAAGAAAAAGATGTTTTTATCAATTAATAACTAAGGAAAATTTGACATGTGTGTAGCATTGAAGCTTCTCTAAATGGACATAATCACTAGCCTAGAGGCTTGTTGAAAAAGAAAATATCATGATAAATACATTTCTAGTTGCTAATAACTATTTGAATATGTTATATTAGACAACTTCAATTATATTTCTTATGATTTTAAAAACACAAGCAATTTATGACACACTAAACAAAATATAAAATTTTGTTTGAAGAGATTGAAATGGTTCACAAAAAATAAGATAATGAAATAAAATTTTATTTACAAGATACACAGTGGTAGTTGTACAAGGTGCTAAACGAAACCTGTCACTCAAAACTAATTGTGACACATTCTTTCATTAACTTGAAATTGTTATCTTGGCCAAATTTAATGCAAAGTTGGTGCATAGAAATTCACATTGCAATTCATGATTTTGTCAAATACTATAAATTATTACTTTCCCAAGTGTTGACTATTATATTGATAGATTTTTGAGTTTAAAAATAAATTGACTAATAAGGATTATGGAAACCCAACCAATTAACGTGTTTATATTTCTTTTATTGTTTGGACAAAGTTCATTTTATAAAAATAGGGTCTATGAACTTTCATTAGGGACATATAAACTTCATCAACTATTTTTTGAGTTTGGGAACATTGAAATTTGTCTACGAAAATGAATTGTTAAATAAAGTCACTAAGATTATACGCCTTCATATGTGATTGTTATTTGTTGTTATTCTTAACCACTAAGAGTCATTTTTCCTTTCTATTCTAAAAATTGGTCTTTAAATGTTATTATTCATTTGCTTAACAAATTTTCACATGTTTTGGTTTTAAAACTAAAAGCAACAATTATCCTAATAGTGGATACTATAGAGTTTACCAAGTGAGTTTTTGTACTAGTTATTTTATATTATTATTTAACTATCTTATTTTTAAATTTTTTTTTTTGTAAATAGGCAAAGTGTGTGATGCTGTTGAAGTAGCAGGAAAAAGTGTTATGTCAACATCATCCACGGTTACAACCGACATTGTCAATCACAGGTAAAGTCAATAGATGCAATATGGTATAATACTTGTAGAATAAAGTATGAAATTAGGTATTGAATTTGATGATACTATGATTTGTGGTCATTTATGGCATTCAAAACCTTTTCATGTAGTATAGAAATGGAAATTTTCATTTCTTTCCATATCTATCACACACATGAAATTAAAACATATCTAAAATGATGAGATTCATTTCATTTCATTTTTGAAAAATATTAAATAAAATACTTTTTTCTCATTATTTTTTTTTTTATCATTGAGTATGTTCTCTCTCTTTTTCTCATGCCATTATCTTATATAATACGGAGTAATAAGTAAAAAATAATGTGTTTACCCCATCCCTTGTTCATTTTTTTTTTTACTTTTCTTGTTCAAGTTTTATTTAGTATTCTCTTAGGATTATTATGGTGGTTCTATAAAATAAAAATAAAAAATAAAAATAAAAAATAAAAAAACTAAACCAAGATAGAAGACCATATATAAACTTTCCTGATTGAATTTGTAAGCCATGCCAATACCTCCAAACAAAATATACATGATGTGCATGGATTGTTAAATAAAACATAAGAACGTAACACACTATTAGGAAATGCTTATACTTTATCCTTGCTAAATAGATGTCTAGACTTCACAAATGACCAAGCATAAATTTAAAATTTACTATGCTAAGCAACTGCATAGACTTAACCCATAACACATATTAACTCATGGGCAAAAATAGCTCAAAGCACGAAAACTCAAGGCATGTCATTTTTTATCATGTATAACTTTAACTCTCTATTATCACTTGTATTTTACTCATTAAGCTCTCTTAAAATCATCTATACCTTGTTTATTAATCCATACTAAAATGTCACTTCATTCCTAACATTAAATACTCATAAAAGAAAAGTAATACTCTATTGACACACTAAGAATGACATCAACACAAATGTGCAACATTATGTGCAACTAGAGCTTAAGCGTGCTCCACTCAGCATGATCACAACATGGCCATGTCAACTTTCAACACGACCATGCTCTCAAGAGTAAGGTCGTGCTCAAGTCTAACTCAAACAACATGACCATGATCACTCACCATAGGCATGTTTACCATGCAACCATGACTTATCTAGCACGTCCTGAGCACAACCATGGTTAACCCAACATAATCGTATTAAAAAAGTGTTGGGATACAAACAAGTCCCACATCGATAAAATAAGACAAAAAATAACAACTTAATTATATAGCACAAACATACTTCAATAACAAAGAAGCCTTTTGGGTAATAACCAAAAGCAAAACCGTGAAGGCTTAGGCTCAAAGCAAATAATATCTCATCATTGTGAAATATGCTTGTGTTTTAACTTTATAAAAATAACTCTCATAAAATATCCCCTCAGGTTAGGTCCCTTATTTGAGGAGAAGATTGTTGGGATACAAACAAATCCTACATCGATAAAATAAGACAAGAAATAACAACTTATATAGCACAAACATACTAACTTATATAGCACAAACATACTTCAATGATAGAGAGGCCTTTTGGGCAATAACCAACGACCAACACACGCTTCACGTTATAACCCATCATAATTGCCGATATAACGACGGGGTCGTCCTCATGAGGGGCCACTCCCTCATAGTCAGAGTCCGAGAATGAAATCTCAGGTTGAGGGGGTCGTCGGAATTCCAACAATGTCAACACAAAATGAGTGTACCTCTTTCGGGCAGCTGAGGTAACGCCCCCCCCCGGCGAATCCCCCTGCGACAGTATTGAAATCCCCGTGGATGGGTTGCTGATGGGCTTCCGACACCTTTGCTGGCGGGTCCCTGGGGGGAGATCTTTCTCTATGTCTGTCTCTCATTGAACCATTCTCTGCATGTTTATGTCGCCTCTCCGATGAACCTTCCTCCTGTTTTCTTGCCACGAACTTTTTCAGTCGTCCTTCCTTGATCAGACGCTCAATCTGCCTCCCTAGGACAAAGCAATTTTCAGTGGTATGTCCATGCGCTCTATGGAACTTGCACCAATCAGTCTTAAAGGGGCCCAATTGACGCTCCGTCGCCACCGAAAATTCAAACAGCGAAGCGCTATTAATGTCATGCAGTACCTGTCTCCTAGGAACATTAAGAGGAGTAAATTTTTCCTCCTCATTACTCCGCATCCACTCGCCCCGTGGTCGACCACCATAATCTGCCTGTCGGTAATTACCATCCTTCACATTATAATGATCACGCCGTTTACTCCAATCAGAACGTGGTCGAAGATGTTTATGACCCTCCTTATTATCGACCCCAACTTCTTGATTTTCTGCTGCTCTTTTGCTGATTTGCCCTTCTTCCGTCTTTATGTGACTTAGGGCGAAAGCTCTTACCTCCGACATCGTTTGACAATTTGCTCTCTCCAGCGCGATGTCGAAAGCACCAGACCTTAGGCCCTTCTGGAATGCGATGACCGTCATCCTTTCATCCAAGGACGCTATCCTCAAAGCGACCTCATTGAATCTTTGCAGAAAGTCCTTCAACGACTCCCCGCGTTGCTGTTTCAGATCGAACAAATCTGACATTATCGGTGGTTTCTTCTTGTTGGCCGCGAACTGCGCCATGAAAAGTCGGCTGAAGACATCGAAGTCGGTGATTGATCGGTCAGGGAGACCACTAAACCAATCAAGGGCTGCTTTTTTGAGTGTGCCCATGAACAACTTGCAACGAATTTCCATACTCCCTCCACAATAAGCATTTGAGCTCGGAAATCCTTCAGGTGTTGACTAGGATCCTGGGTTCCATCGAAAGGTTCCACCTGGGGAACTCGATGATCCCTCGGTATGATCTCAGCCTCTATAGCTTCCGAGAAAGGTCTAAAATCCCTAGGGACTTCCATCATAACATCTTCCTCCGCAGTTCGGGTATTGGCCGTTATCATGGCCTGCATCTCATCTGCTCGCCTCCTGATCTCCTCATTTTCTCTCTGAATAGCCTCCTCCCTTTCCCTGGATCGTGCATTCTCCTCTCTCAAGCTGGTTATCATCGCCATCATCTCCTCCATGGTAGGGTGTTGTGAGTCGCTGTTTGATGTGCCGCCTCTCACCATGGTAAAATGCAGGTTCTTCTATATGACTTGGGGCATAGGAAAAGTTTCACCGTGGCCCCATGGTGGGCGCCAAAATGTTCCGGCCAAAGGGTTGACTAGGGTTTTTTCCTAGGTTAAGCCTTAGAGCCAGAACATTCAAAAGTATAATCTACGCCCTTAGCCTTAGGGTTTTAGGTTATATATTTTCTTATTCATGGGCCTCATGGGCCCCGTGAACGCGGGGATTTCCTTAACCGTTTTTATTTGGAAGATACTTGGCGAACGCGGGAATATTAGATCAGGCCCTGACCGACTAGATCCACCCCGAGGGTCCAGTCGGGTATTGGCTGAGTGGGCTCTTATAGGCAAGAGGGATCGGAATGGGGCCGACTTGACTTACGTAGAGATGCCAAGTCGGACATAGACCGAGTGACCCTTAGAGGGAGGAACGGTCGAGGTTGTAGTCGGCCTACCGCAGGTAGAGAGGTCAGGTCAGATTCCGACCTGAACGGTCCACTTATATTACATTGGAATCTATAAAGAAGGAAGAAATGATCTCAATTATTTATTAGTTTTTATTGTTAATCATTTATGTATATTAAAATATAAAAATAAAAAAATTCTTTTTTATAATTCTTTTTGTTTTCTAAATTCATATGTTTTATTTTTGAATATATGAAAAAATAGCAAAAGAATTAATAAAAATAAATTTACAAAAGAAGAAAATATTAATGAATTATTGGCTTTTAAAATAAATAACTTAAAACCAATTTGATAATATATATATATATATATATTATAATTAATAAATATAATA